GTCTGCGTTTGGGAGCACATCTTCCTTCCCCTGTCCTGACCACTTTCTACAGGGGGACAATCGAGAGCATCCTGTCATACAGCATCACAGTCTGGTTTGGAGGCATCACTGTTTCAGACAGGTAGGCGGTGCAGAGAGTGGTGAGAATAGCCAAAAAGATCATTGGCAGTTCCCTCCCTCCCATCCAGGACATAGCACAGAAGGGCTGCTTGAGCAGGGTCAGTAAGATTATCTGGGACACTACACATCCTCTTCACGACCTGTTTTCCTTGTTACCTTCTGGGAGGAGGCTTCGTGGTATCCGTAGCAGAACATCCAGATTCAGCCAGTTTCATTCCAAACAGTATTAACCTTGCGAACTCTCAAGCTTCCTCCTTCCGTTATATATTCAAGATGGACAATATTTAATATTTATTTCCTATGTATATGTAGGGAGGTGGGTCTATACATATGTTGTTCATAGTATGTTTGGGTGTGTGTCATGTATGTGTTTCACTTTGAGAGCGGGCAACTAAATTTCATTTTTGATGTATGCCATTGTGCCCACAGTATAAAAATGACAATAAAGGTTATCTTATCTTATAAATAATGTGCATTGGAACACCTCCGAATAAGAATATTGGACCAAGGGCAATGAGGCTTAATTCAAGACTTCTACATCCAAAACAGAAGTACAGAAGTTACAAGTTAGTAAAAAGGATTAATAAGGAAGGAAAATATATATATATTCTTATCTGTATGCCTCCTAAAGTTGCTGTTGGGTTGGATGGTCTTAAAAATCCAAATCGTAAATAAAACACAACTTTTAACTGTTATTGTTCACTACTAATGAACAAAGGACGCATAAATGTTACATATACAAGAATATGACTTCAAACAATCATAATTTTAAACCACAAATTATGTTACAAACGGAATCGACTCCCAAAAAGATTTAGTATTGTTCTCTAAAGTCTCCTTCCGTTGAGTTTTTGCTAATAAAACAAACACTGATTTAAATGTAGGCGGCCAACTCATATTAACAATCCACTGCTACAAATTAGCTATGGATTTCTCCTAGTTTGGGGATGAAAATTTAACCTCTTCCGATGTCAAAGTTTTTGATATCTTGGCAGATTCCTAATACTGGTATTATGGACAAGAACACATGCATCTTTATAATCCAGTTATATTAAAAATCCTATTGGATGGGTTTAAAAGGCTTTTTAGACATGGATTGACTCAAGGTTTAAGATTGGTAAATAAGACGTTAGAGATCCTGATTGAATAAAGATTAATTAAATATGTGAACTTAGTGAGAAGATTTTTTTTGTATTAATATGTTTGTTGTGGATATAATAATTATTTGGATCGGATTTAAATTTTACTGAGTGGGTTAAAAGAGTTTTACATAGATATTGATTGGCTGATAGATTAGATTTAAAATAGAGTAGAAATGTATTTTTGGAGTAATATTTTTGTTTTTAGGAAGGATAGTTATTTTATAATGGAAGGAGAATAAGAGGGATTTTTGATAAAAGAAATGATATTAATAAATGAGTCACTGATTATGTTAAGGAAAAAGGGAAAGGAGAGACACCTGAAGTGTTAATAATATCTTGGCATCGGACCTGGATATCTCCGAGACCGCCTTCTGCCGCAGGTTGCCTCCCATCGGCCGGTACGCTCCCACAGAGTGGGTCTCCTCAGGGTGCCGTCAGCCAGACAGTGCCGGCTGGCGACCCCCAGGGGGAGGGCCTTCTCGGTGGGAGCTCCCACCCTCTGGAACGAACTACCCCCAGAGATCCGGGTGATCCCNATTATTATTATTATTATTATAATATGTTTATCTAAACCAAATTGGAATATGGTAGTTGTAAATAGTAAAGCTCAATACAGGATTTGGATTTATATAGATGAAATGTTATTGATGGTTGTTTTGATTGATTGAACTTTATTGAAAAATACATTGATTTGAATATATTATATTATTTGAGGGAATAGAGAGGAAGTTTTTAATGATTTAATCTGAATTACATATGTATGATTTTGCTTTTGGATAATTGATTACCCTGTCACCATGCTGTTTTTCTAGCACCTGGTTGTAAAAAGAAAAAATCAATAAAACTTGTTTTATAAAAAAAAAATCCTATTGGTGAATTGACTTAAGACAGGCTTAGGATACAGGAGGATCTGGACAGACTTGAACACTGGGCGCTATCTAACAAAATGAAATTCAATGGTGAAAAAAGTAAGGTTCTACATTTAGGCAAGAAAAACCAAATGTATAGGGGGTACCTTGCTCAATAGTAGTAACTGTGAGAGGGATCTCAGAGTCCTAGTGGACAATCATTTAAATAGGAGCCAGCAGTGTGCTGCAGCTGCCAAAAAAGCCAACACAGTGCTGGGCTGCATTAACAGAGGGATAGAATCAAGATCACGTGAAGTATTAATACCACTTTACAATGCCTTGGTAAGGCCACACATATAAGGAACGGTTACTGGAATTGGGTATGTCTAGTTTAACAAAGAGAAGGACGAGGGGGGACATGATAGTAGTGTTCCAATATCTCAGGGGCTGCCCCAAAGAAGAGGGAGTCAAGCTATTTTCCAAGGCGCCTGGAGGCAGGACAAGGAGCAACGGGTGGAAACTAACCAAAGAGAGAAGCAACCTAGAACTAAGGAGAAACTTCCTGACAGTGAGAACAATTAACCAGTGGAACAACCTGCCCCCAGAAGTGATGAATGCTCCAACACTGGAAGTTTTTAAGAAGAGACTGGACAGCCATTTGTCCAAAATGATATAGGGTTTCCTGACTGAGCAGGGGGTTGGACTAGATGACCTCCAAGGTCCCTTCCAACTTTACTACTACTACTATTATTATTATTATTATTATTATTATTATTATTATTATTATTATTATTATTATTATTATTGTTGTTGTTGTTGTTATTATTATTATTACCTGTGTGTAGAAATAAAAAAAATATGCTCATGTTGGGAAGGACTAATAGGGCATCAAATACCCACCGTGCAGATATGTTCTTAGCAAAATATTAAAATCTAATTTCAGCAGTAGACTGTTAACTATCTAAAACAGGACCCAAAATTTGATTCAAATTACCATCAGTTATTATATGCTTTATTGACTTGATCTGAAGGTGTTGGGAACAAGTCTGTTCTTAAGAGTTACAAAATCTGTAGTTGGACTACATAAAAGTCAAGAGTGCTAGATGTTTATCCCCAAGCTAACCAAGAATTTATTACAAGTACTTTTCTTACCCAAACTCCTCAATGATTTTGGCATCCAATAAAAACACTGGAACAACCACCTACCACAAAAATGCAGGTCACCAGAACTGATTAAGCTAAAATTTAAGCTAAAATGGTTTTCGTGACCTTGTAAAAGGCTAACAGCAAGGCGCTAGATATCTGTGGGGTTCGTTGTTCCACATAATTGTTCCTGCCTCTGGACCCAAGACCCCCTTACTTCTCAGGTGGCTGACCCAACTGAATGAAAAGAATAATTTCAAAGGACGTGGTCTCTCAAATAACTCAATGTAGGGTTAGGTACATAAAAAGGAGCAATGGAATTGGATTTGGAATATTATAGGTAGTGAGGGCGGGTTCCAGAGATAAGTGCTACACTGCAAAAACAAGTTCTACACCAATGGCAGCTTCTGATTAATCATCAAAGCAATCCTACAAAGACTGTAGTCCAATAGTCCAAGCATGTGCTGATTAGGGGATGAGTTACTGTTGTCAGAGCTTCGTGATCCTGGTTAGGATGGAAGCTGGGCAGTTGCCCCTAGACCAGGGGTAGGCCACCTTGGCTCTTTTATGACTCGTGGACTTCAACTCTCAGAATTCCTGAGCCAGCCATGCTGAGGGGAAAGGGAGAGGTTTCCAAGCTGAGATATGCTGGCTCAGGAATTCTGGGAGTTGAAGTCCACGAGTCAAAAAAGAGCCAAGGTTGCCTACCCCTGCCCTAGACATAGCCTCAATCTGCTACGCTTGGAGTAGGAGCAGTAAGAATGGCCATCTATGTACATCTTGTCTACCAAATATTTCCGTAAAAACTGCAGTTTTTGTTCCCCTCCTTTCAAACCTTTCCAGGCTACGCAAAAGATGCCAATCCATTAACATTACACATTACATAAGAGAATATTATTAACATTAAAGACAATGAGCAAGGAAAAAGGCATCACCATATCCACCCACAACATATCCGGGTTGTAACGAATGTTTAAGTTCCGAGGCAAAAAAAATCTGTATGGAATCAACACTTTCGCCACTGCTCTAATATTTATACAATTTCTCCACCGTGGATTCTTTGAATGAGAAGCATAGACTATACGTATGGGAACACTTTCCACACTTCATCCATCCTTTGTGTGGGAAAGATGGTAGCTCTTTCGGTTGAAACTCTCCCCACACGCTACATATTTTCGTTCCTGTATGCAGCTTTAATGGAACACTGCGTCTAATGCTTCTTCTGAAGCTCTTCTCACATTCCCCGTATCTTTATGCTTTCCTCCCCATTGCTTCTTCTTAGTTTGAGTAAAAAACCCACGTTAATAAAGCTCTTTCACTGTTCCATGCAGTTGTACAGTTTTCTGCTCTGTGGATTGAATTTGGGTAAGTAAGGTGAGAACCACCTAATGAGAAGGAAGGACTCACTGGAGAAGAGCCTGATGCTGGGAAAGATTGAGGGCAAGAGAAGAAGGGGACGACAGAGGATGAGGTGGCTGGACGGAGTCCCTGAAGCAGTAGGCGTGAGCTTAAATGGACTCCAGAAGATGGTAGGAGGCCTGGAGGAACGTTGTCCATGGGATCGCGATGGGTCGGACACGACTTCGTAACTAACAACAACAACAACGTGAGAACATTAATTAAAGCTCTTTCCAGTCTGTACTTTGATAGGCTCTTTCCAAGATGGATCCTATTATGAGAACAAAAGAGAAGCATTTCCTTAGACTCCGGTTTCACTGTCCAGGAATTTATATTGTTTCTCCACCGCATGAATCTTTTTATGGGAAATAAAAGTAGCGGTCTTCCTAAAGCTCTTTCCGCAGTCTGTGCATTTATAGGGTTTCTCTCCGGCATGGATCCTTCTATGTTTAGAGAGGCTAGCACTTTTGCTAAAATGGACCTTCATCCATTTGTAGATTTTCTCCCTCGTGTGAGTCCTTTTATGGGAAGCGCGGTTACTGCTGGTATTGAAGCTTTTCCCACACTCCATGCATTTGTACGGCTTCTCCCCCGTGTGGATCCTTTTATGGGAAATGAGGTCACTGCTCTGACTGAAGCTCTTTCCACACTCCCTGCATTTGTAGGGCTTCTCCCCCGTGTGGATCCTTTTGTGCGAAGCAAAGTTGCTGCTTTTCCTGAAGCTCTTTCCACAATCCAGGCATTTGTAGGGCTTCTCCCCCGAGTGGCTCCTCCTGTGGGAAGTGAGGCTACTGCTGTTGCTGAAGCTTTTCCCGCACTCTGCGCACTTGTACGGCTTCTCCCCCGTGTGGATCCTCTTGTGAGAGGTAAGGTAACTGCTCGTACTAAAGCTCTTCCCGCACTCCAGGCATTTATAGGGTTTTTCTCCCGAATGACTCCTTTTGTGGGACGTTAGGCTGCTGCTCGTGCTGAAGCTCTTTTCACACTCGGCACATTTGTACGGTTTTTCTCCCGAGTGACTCCTTTTGTGGGACGTTAGGCTGCTGCTGGTGCTAAAGCTTTTCCCACACTCCAGGCACTGATAGGGTTTCTCTCCCGAGTGACTCCTTTTATGAGCAGTGAGGTTGCTGCTGCTACTGAAACTCTTCCCACACTCCGAGCATTGATAGGGTTTCTCTCCGGTGTGGATCCTTCTGTGGCAAGTGAGAGAACTGCTGTTGCTGAAGTGTTTTCCACATTCCAGGCATTTATACGGTTTTTCCCCCAGGCTGACTCTTTTGCGCAGAGACAGAGCAAAAGTACGATGGGAACTTTTTGTGTTCTCCTTGAGCTGACACTTCTTCTGCCCTTTGACCGGGGTTCTGCAAGATTGGTTTAAATCGGAGATGTCCTGCAATATTTCTCCGCCTTTCCCGAAAGATTTTCCCTTATTTTTAAGACGGCGGTTTGGTTGGACCAACAAATCTTGAATTTGAGGCCACGGCGAGGAAGAACCTCGTTTCCTTCCGTTTTTGGAGGGGCTTTCTTTGCGCGCTTTTGGTTCCATTTCATTTGCAAACGGTCCCTTTCCCACTTCAAGCGTCCAAGCTTGGAGGGTCTCCTTGCCATTTTTATTCCCTTGCCCTTTACTCCCTGGAGGGAAAAAAAAGAGAATAATTGTAATAAGGCCAGAGAAAGGAAATAAGGAAGAACTATAGCAGTGATACCGAACCTTTTAGAGAGCGAGTGCCCCAAACCCAGCCCCGCCTCCCCTCCCCTCGCCCACTCTGTCCCCGCTCCACCTGCCTGCAGGCCCACCCACCGCCTCCACGGCCCGCCACAGATCACCCAGGTAGCCCAGTAGCGCCATGGCGGCCACGCCCTCTGCCTGCGCCCTGCAGCAGCATCTGCACATGACAGGGCACGAGGGCGGAGTCTTGCCCCCACTGCCCGGCTGCCATGTCCTTGGCTGCGCTACTCTGCACAGGCCATGCTCGGAGGTGACTCTCCTCCAGGGGGGCTGCTGGTGAGGGGGCCGTGGGGCGAGGCGGGGCTGGGGCAATGGCGCGCATGCCCACAGAGAGGGCTCTGAGTGCTGCCTCTGGCATGTGTGCCATAGGTTCGCCACCACTGAACTATAGAAACTGTGAATTTCCAGCTCGAATTTTAGCAAGGACTGCAATATTTCTAAACTCAGGTCAAAACGTAATAGCTTGATTTAGTCTTGGTTATTACTAAGTTCTGAAACTAAGCCTCTACATTTAGACAAGAAAAACCAAATGCACAGGTACGGTATAGGTGGTACCTCGCTCAATAGTAGCAACTCTGAGAGGGATCTCGGAGTCCTAGTGGACAATCCCTTAAATATGAGCCAGCAGTGTGCTGCAGCTGCCAAAAAGGCCAACACAGTGCTAGGCTGCATTAACAGAGGGATAGAATCAAGAACACGTAAATTGTTAATACCACTTTACAATGCCTTGTAAGGCCACACTTGGAATACTGCATCCAGTTTTGGTCACCAGGATGTAAAAAAGATGTTGAGACTCTAGAAAGAGTACAGAGAAGAGCAACAAAGATGATTAGGGGACTGGAGACTAAAACATATAAGGAATGGTTGCTGGAATTGGGTAAGTCTAATTTAACAAAGAGAATGACCAAGGGATGACATGATAGCAGCGTTCCAGTATCTCAGGAGTTGCCACAAAGAAGAGGGAGTCAAGCTATTCTCTAAAGCTCCTAAAGGCAAAACAAGAAGCAATGGATAGAAACTCATCAAGGAGAGAAGCAACCTAGAACTAAAGAGAAATTTCCTGACAGTTAGAAGAATTAACCAGTGGAACTATCTGCCTCCAGAAGCTGTGAATGCTCCAACACTGGAAGTCTTTAAGAAGAGACTGGAGAGCCATTTGTCTGAAATGGTATAGGGTTTCCTGCCTGAGCAGGGGGTTGGACTAGATGACCTCCAAGGTCCCTTCCAACTTGATTATTATTATGAATAATAAGTTTACATATAATATTGAAATGGACAATTTCTATTGTATCAATGGATAGAAACCTTTGCTTATTTTCATGATTTCTTCATAAAAATAATTAAGCACTGTCGTTGTATCTGTATTTAAAGAGCAGGAAAAAAAATAAAGCCACTGCTGAGCTTAACCGGGACCAGTTTCATAGTTCCACAAGATCTACAAATCTACAAAGGTGCTTTTTCAAAAGGCAACTGGACTTTCTTGTTTTTTTTCCCTTGAAAATGTTTTGCTTTTCGTCAAGTTCTGAAGAACCAAAGAAGCTTTTTGGAAGAGAAGCAAAATGTTTTCAAGGGGGGAAAAAAATTAAAAATTAAAAAAATTAAAAAATCAACAAAGTCCAATCGCCTTTTTGAAAAGCGCCTTTGGGAGAAACTTCCTGACAGTGAGATGATAGCAGTGTTCCAGTGTCTCAAGGGCTGCCCCAAAGAAGAGGGAGTCAAGCTATTCTCCAAAGCACCTGAAGGCAGGACAAGAAGCAACGGATGGAAACTAATCAAGGAGAGAAGCAACCTGGAACTAAGGAGAAACTTCCTGGCAGTTAGAACAATTAACCAGTGGAACAACCTGCCTCCAGAAGCGGTGAATGCTCCAACACTGGAGGTTTTTAAGAAGAGACTGGACAGCCATTTGTCCGAAATGGTATAGGGTTTCCTGCCTGAGCGGGGGGTCGGGCTAGATGACCTCCAAGGTCCCTTCCAACTTTATTATTATTATTATTATTATTATTATTATTATTATTATTATTATTATTATTATTATTATTATTTATATTGGTGCCCATTCCACAATCATTTCAAGAAACTCCCTCTGATGAATATATCCATAGAGTAGAGTTGCAGGCAGAAAGACAATTAGTCCTGAATCCCTTACTATAGTTTGAGCTTTTCTTATTTTGCTTAATCTTGTCGCAATCTGCCTTTTCATGCTGCTTCACATTATGTAATTTATTTATTTAATTTATTTAATTTAATTTATATCCCGCCCTTCTCCCAACGGGACTCAGGGCAAGTAATGCAAGTAATAGCTGAGGAAAAAAAACCATAAGGAAAATGGGGTTATAGTGATGTAAATTAGAAAATGATAGTAGTGTTCCAATATCTCAGGGGCTGCCACAAAGAAGATGGAGTCAAGCTATTCTCCAGAGCGCCTGAAGGCAGGACAAGAAGAAATGGGTGGAAACTAATCAAGGAGAGAAACAACCTAGAACTACGGAGAAACTTCCTGATAGTTAGAACAATTAACCAGTGGGACAATCTGCCTCCAGAAGCGGTGAATGCTCCAACACTGGAAGTTTTTAAGAAGAGACTGGACAGCCATTTGTCCGAAATGGTATAGGGTTTCCTGCCTGAGCAGGGGGTTGGACTAGATGACCTCCAAGGTCTCTTCCAACTTCATTACTACTACTACTACTACTACTACTACTACTACTACTACTACTACTACTACTACTATTATTATTATTATTATTATTATTATTATTATTATTATTATTATTATTACAACCATGACTTGGATGATTGAGAATCTCCTTAAACATACAAGGCAATATTTTTGAGGACCAAGCATGGTCCTGCTTCTTACCCAGCAAGGCCACGTTCCGAGAATTCTCCAGCATGACTTCCTCATGGAGGGCTTTTTGACGGGCATCCAGCTGAGACCACTCCTCTTTAGAGAAATACACAGCCACCTCCTTGAAGGACACATCGCTCTGCTCAGGGAAAAGAATTTGCCATGATCTTACAGTCCCAAGAAGGATTTGCAAGTTTTCTCTCTTGGTTGACAAATTACCGAAGAAGAGGGGTTGGACTAGATGACCTCCAAGGCCCCTTCCAACATCATCATCATCATCATTATTATTATATCTGCAGTGGGCTCACGTTTATTTTCTAGCAGATGTAAAAAATAATCTGCACAAGGAAATGGACGGAGCTTATATAGTCTCTCACCAAAAATACGGTTGGGGCAAGTTTAATACACTTGACTGAATTCTGTAGAACTTTTAGTGCCCTTCAGGGAAAGGAATTCCAATTTCCTTCTTAATCAACTGACAGAAGGGCCCCAAGCAGAGCTGTCAGCGGCTGCGATCCTGCCCGATCCTTGCACAAGGAAGGACGGGGGAGCTACTCTGTGACCTAACAGTAGATGCCCTGTGATGTCATCTCAGGGATCCATCCTGCCTGTGCCTAACACTTTCGTACCCAGCCAGAGCTTACAGCTGGTCAGGCTAGCCCAAAGCCAACCATCACAGAACTCGAGTGCATCAGCAGGAAGGGAGGGAGGGAAGGAATGGAGGAGGGAGGGAGGAAGGAGGAAAGGAGGGAGGGAGAGAAGGAAGGAAAGAAGGAAGGTGGGAAGGAGGGAAGGAGAGAAGGAAGGCAGGCAGGCAGGCAGGAAGGGAGGGAAGGTGGGAAGGAGGGAGNAAGGAAGGTGGAGGGAGGAAGGAGGGAGGGAGGGAGAGAAGGAAGGAAAGTGGGTAGGAGGGAGGGAGGAATGAAGGAGGGAAGGAAGGAAGGTGGGAGGGAGGAAAGAGGGAGAGAAGGAAGGCAGGTGGGAAGGAGGAGGAAGGAGGGGAAAAGGGAAGGAGGGAAGGAAGGGAGGAAAGGAAGGAGGGAGGAAGAAGGAAGGAAGGAGGGAGGGAGAGAAGGAAGGAAAGAAAGAAGGAAGGTGGGAAGAAGGGAGGAAGGGAGGGAGGGAAGGAAGGAAGGAGGGAGGGAGGAGCAAGGGGGGAAGGAAGGAAGGAGGGGGGAGGAAAAGAAGGAAGGAAGGAAGGAAGGAAGGAAGGTGGTGAGAGAGGCCTTGAAAGTTCTGAAGAATTTGGGAAGCAAGTTAATGGAGCTTGGAAGTGTGGCTGTAGGAGCAACCAGTACTCTCTACTGTGAGACTAGCAGGTCCAGTGAAAGGGTCATTCCAGAGCCATTCAAAGCTAGAATTAAGCCAGAATGGCCCCTCCCCCCAAAAAACTGATACAAAGTGAATCCATTGCCTCAAGTGGGCAAGAAAGGAAAAGCCACAAAAGCTACAGGTGGTCCTCAAGTTACGACCAACCACTTAGTGACTGTTCGAAGTTCTGACAGATCTATCTAGTAGAGCAGGGGTCCCCAACCCGTGGGCCACGGCCCACTACCAGTCTGTGGTCTATTTGCAACCGGGTCGTGTAAGTGGCTGGCTGGTGTGCCCACGTTTGTGCGCACAGTCCCACACACGAGCATCGTGGGCGCTCGTGGCCCCACTTGTACAATCGTTGCGGGGGCTCGTGACCCTATT